TGTTGCCGTGACCTCTATCCACCAATTCTTTGTCTTGACTAAATCACTTCCACCTCTTCTTAGCTTTCGCATTGATGGTGCTTTATCTTACAAACTTTAATTACAGTGCTCCAGCCCTGTTATATACTCTCAGGAAATGCTTCAGGATTTTTTTAAAGTAAGCCTCATTTATTATTATTATTATTATTATTTGAAAGGCAGAATTATAGAGAGAAGGAGCAGCAGACAGAGAGTCTGCATCTGCTGGTTCATTCTCCAAGTGGCACAATGACTGGAGCTGGGCCAATCCAACTCCAGGAACCTGGAGCTTCTCCTGAGTCTGTCTGTCAGGTGTAGGGAACCCAAAACTTGGGCTATCCTCCTCTGCTTTCCCAGATCACAAGCAGGGAGGGGGATCAGAAGTGCAGCAGCTGGGACAAGAACTGATGCCCAGATGGGACATTAGAGTATAGGTGAAGGGTTAGCCTGTTGAAGCATAATGCCAGCTCAAATGCTCCAGGATCTTGATCTAGTGAGTTTAAAATGTGCACTGGAAGCTCTTCTTTACCTATCTCCAATTGATGTGAGTACAGCAGTTTTCCCACCCTGTAATAGAATGGTTACTTTATTTTGATATTTTAGCCAAACTTGTGTAATTTGGACCAACTGAGAGGTCTCTGATGTTGGTGATAGTTTCTGCTTTAACCGCCAATGTTTTTCAGGGTGGTCATGCATTACCTTCTTATTGAATGTTGATGTGGCTTGCCTGTTGATTTCAGATGCATGCAATTACATGTGCATAACCTCACCCAAGACCTCTAAGCAGTGATCATTGAAATAACAACCAGTATCATACAGTATACAGAGTAGCTGACATCTTTGTTTTGTTTCTCACTTGATGGTGATCTATTTAAGTGTTTGTCCCAAACAGTCATAATTATTTGGGAATTTTATGTGACAAATTCCTACTGATATAATTGCTGGTTCTGATATTAAACAAATTAATGGTGCTCCAAAAAAAAAAACCCACTCAAATCAAATGCCAAAAAAGTAAGACAAACACAACAAAATGCATCCTGCATTTCTAGCAAGCTTGTAGATAATGTTCACACTGCTATTCTGTAGGTCATTTTTCCAACAGCACTGATTTACAACCACTTTATACAGGACAGCACAACAACCCAATAATGAATATAGTTTTGAAAAATGTAAGTTGTAACGATGTACAAAAGCGTGTGCTTACCATGAAGCAAGCTAAATAATGTAATTTAGAATGATAAGTGATTTTAAATAGCAGCAGGTAGTATAAATACTAACTAAAAATTTAATATGAAAAGTATTTCCTGTAATTAAAAGTATTTTAATTGCTACTCTTAATTAATCTATTATAGTGAAAATGTTACTGTGTATCCTAATAGAAAATATTTTGTGATATTCAGTTGTTCTATGTAAGTCTTACATTTAATTCACTGAACTGTACATTTGCCTTTATTTGTTTTTAGTTTTGTTGTCAGCCAACCACTGTATCCTCACGACCCTGTTCTCTACCAGTATGTTGTAACTTTGTGACCCTGTTCCCACCAGTCCATGTAACCCCTTGGCACCATGCCTGATGTTCCTATCCATCAATCCTTTGCGGCAGCTCCCCCTACTCCCGCCTATCACCACATCTGCCAACCCCCCTATCCCTGATGGTCCTATCCACCAATTGCTCATGGATTCATGTTACCCACCTCCTGGCCATAAAAGGAATCTCCCGCGTTAGTGCCCCTGCTTTCCTTGGAGCCCCTCCTGTCACTATGACAGGAGACGACTCCTCTCTCTCTCTCTGCTTTCTCTTCCCTTCCCCTGACCATCTTTCTCTGCTCTGCTTGCTCTCCGTTCCCTGTGGCTGCATCTCCTGTTGAAATAAAGACCCCCTATGTGAAAAGATAAAAATATTCTTGTAATTTATTTTCAGACATAGTATCAAGATAATGTTAATAAAAATTTCAAAATGTTATAAAGCTTTTCAAATGGCATGCAAATTATATATTTAATGCAGAAAAAATATAGAAATTTATCTTTTGGAAGTTTCTTGAAAATTTTCATAACTTTCCTTGTTTACATAGGGCTATTTTAGTTAGCAACTTTTGTCAATTACTGCTTTTGCTTTGAGTGGAAAGTCATGTTTTGTTGAGCTTTCCAAATACCCAAATGTGAATTTTATATACTTTTTCACTTAAAAAGTTGATAAGCTTTTTTTTACTCCCACTCTTATATAAGTTTTCTACTATATGCATTACTTCTTTTTTTAAAGAATTATTTATTATATTGATTGCAAAGTCAGGTCTTCAGAAAGAAGGAGAACAGAGAGAAAAATATTTTCTCCACTGATTCACTCTCCAAGTGGCTACAATTGCCGAAGCTCAGCTGATCTCAAGCCAGGAGGCAGGAGCTTCTTCGGGGTCTCCCACGCTAGCACAGGGGCCCAAGGCTTTGGGACATCCTGCACTTCTCTGGCCAGAAAGCTGGAACTAAAAGGGAAGTGGAACAGCTGAGATACAAACCAGCATCCATAAGGGATCTTGGCACATGCAAGGCAAGGATTTTATCTGCTAGTGTATCACGCTGGGCCCAGCACTTTTCTAAAAAGGAAAATTTTGATTGAAGGTAGAAAATGAATATTTTTAGCAATATAAGGAAACAATCTTTGTTTCTTGCAATATTGAAAACTAATTAGTTATAGTATTCCAGGTATTTGGATCTTTTGTAGCAAATGAGGTTCAAAAAAATTTAAGTATGTTTATAATGACATAACTATTAAGTAGCAGAATTGGATTAAAACTTAGATATAGTGTATTGTGGGCATTAACAGAGCTAGAAAAATGTCATTTTAACTGTATGGTACTAAAGAGAGATTTGAGAAGGATGTGAAATGACTGGCAGTGTCAAGAACTGGACAGAAAGAAGCAAAATTAGGAAAGACATGATATAGTGAGATTTAAAGCACCTACAGCAAACTTCTCTCATAAGAACATCATGAAGGGTGTGAAAACTTGAGCTTGGGTCTAATGTGGGAGCAAATATTTTTAATCATATTGCTTAGGAAGTACAGAGAAAATAAAGTATTTTGGAATATAATATGACAAGAAAAAATGCATGCTTTGGGAATATTAGTAGGAGAGAATTGTCACAGGAATTAAGTCAGCACTTCTTAAGCAGGAGTTGTACCTAGGTGTCTATATTGTTGAGTCATGTTATTACTTATTTAGCTCATATTCAGACATTTTAGAAACTTGACACATTTTATTTATACTCTTGATTCTGTTACTGAATTAAAAGTTAAGCTTTCTTAAAGTATGTTCTAATTTTTTCTCCCTATATCGTGAAGTATGACGCCTGCTTAGCACCCATAGAGTTTCTAGATAATTGTTTATGATTCAGGTATCCACTTGTTGATTACCGGCCCTCCTTTTGATCTTGCTTTATTCTGGACTGTTTCACAACTATGGAAGGCTCTGTTGTTTCGCCCTGGCCTCTCTCGTTCTGTTCTTTTCTCTGAGGAACCTGGTAGTAGTGTATTAGACTAGAAAATCAGTGTTCAACACAGTACACACGTTCTGTGAAATAATTCAATTAAAACAAAAACCTGCAGGAATGCTATATACTGAATAAGGGTTGTGGTCCTAGGTCAACTGTGCCTATCTTGATGTTGTTACTTTTCTGAAACAACTCATCTGGAAGAGCTGTGTCTTGATACATGTGGAATGGGAGCATGCAGTGACTAATTTGAAAAAAAAAAAGGTTTTGATTTAACTTCTACTGAATTTGATGACACAGTTGTTCTGACAAGGCCAACAAGAAAAGCAACAAAGAACACGCTCTTTGCATTTCTTACTACATCTTCTTAAGGCTTGCTTCTTTAAAGGTCTAATGCATTTATGGCAGAATTAAATGTCAAAATCAAAGTGAAAATTCCCTTTAATATTTTGGTCTATGAACCACAGGAACTCATTTAGAGTTAGTTGAACACTTGTAATTCTATTTACCTTTCTTTAAAAACTATTGCTTTTGTGTCTGTGGTTTTTTGTGTCTGTGGTTTTTTTTTTTTTTGTATGTGTCATATATAGATTTTTTTTTTGCTTTTATTTCTCACAAAGAAGTTGTTTGTGAATGAAGAAGACTGATGACTATTGTAGTAATAGAAAAAGAGATTGGGTCATGGGATTGAAGGAAATAAGTAAGGAAATAAATAAGGAAAAACAATTTATAAACTTTATTACAACAAAAAGACTAGCATTTATTTCATACCATGTGGTCAAGGTTTCGTTTGGTTATACTCATATCTTTTGTGTCAGTTGAATAGAGTACAGACAAGGCAAAAAATAGTTTCAGGAATGTATTGTGAGAGATCATAATTTGTATATTTTCCCCTTAATGTTATCTCCTTCCCAATGTTGTATATTGTTGTCCAGTAAAGAATATTGTTAAATATTGGTAGATATATGATTTTTATGAATTTTGAGGAAACTGCTTATAAGTTACCCAGTATATTGAGAAATGTACACTGCTCTGAGTAAAAGACATTTGGAATGAATTTCTCAATTCAGTTCTTTTTCCTCATCCAGTTACCAAAGTAGTCTGAAATTCTTTAGGAATATGTGTATTCAAATCTTCATTGGAGGCATTGCTGTGCAGGAACATATGTAAACAGGCATATTTTCCTCCCATAATTATTTTCCTGGAGTATATTAGCACCAATCCTGGTGTTTTTATTCAAGATATTTTAATCCCATCTACATTTTAGATGGCAATCATAAAGCTCTATGGGTTTTTCTCCTGAAGAAATAATATCACCCCCATCCCAAAGATAATGGTTTATAAAATAGACAGCTTTGAAAAATTAAATGAGCTCCAAAGAGGAACCGACCGTAATCAGCTTCCACACTGCGATTGTGCCATGCGCTGAGTCATGCCTTTATGATTGTATTTCCCTTGGAACATGTATAATTATGGATGTTTTTTTTCTATCTTGGTAGGAACTGGGAAGTAACAGCCCTCCACAGAGGAACTGGAAGGGGATCGCTATCGCCCTCCTGGTGATTTTAGTGGTGTGCTCACTCATCACCATGTCGGTCATCCTCTTAACCCCAGGTAATCTTTCTCCATTCCTCTCTTATTATGGGATTGTGGATGATAATTGCACATTCAGATATCTTAAGAGGTAGCAATATGTGAGATCTCAGGACACGTTAGCATCAGAATTCTTTGTTAAAAAAAAAACAGTGTTAAATATATTGCAAATGACACAGCAATTCTACAGTTCAAAATATCCTGCAGATTTTAGGGAAAAAGCTAAAATGTGAAATATGAACATTGGAAACACCAAGGAAATCCTTGGTCACCATGACTACTGACAGGCTTCTTAGATTTGTCAGTTAGATAACTGTATGGGGGCTTTAGAACTTTAATATGATGAGGGAACAGCAAAGCCAGAAAATTTCCATATGCAAATAATTATGCAGATGTAGGGAAACAGAAAGTGAGGAATTCAGAGGGAAAAAACGTAGCAGTTTAAAAGACAGTAAAAGGTTCCTTAAAATTTTTGTTTTTTACACCCAGAGTTTTCCTTCTGTGTAAATTGCTCTGGTGATGATCTTTGCACTGTGTTTTTCAGATGGGAGTTTAATATTGATAATGAAATCATCCACAGGCAATGTGGCTTCTATGAGTCATTCCAATGTGAAATTTCGTGAAATATCCCACCTGATAAAAATGTTGGTGTTGAAATGTACAAATGGTCAAATGAATGGGGTTTATGGTTTTACTTATCATATTCAAGAACTGAGAATGGAATCAAGGAAGCCTCTTTCCTGAGGAAAGAGGAAAGAGAGAGAGAGAGGAAAGAAGGAAAGGAGGGAGGAGGGGGTAGGGAATGAAGAATGGAAGACAGGCCAAGAGAGAAGAAAAACCCAGACCTCACTCAATGAGTTTATATTGTAGAAACAATTATTGTTTAGGTTTACAGTTTGTGAAGCACATTCATATGCCCCATGTTCAAATGTCTTTGGGTCTCATTATTGTTGTAGAAGAGTGAGTATGAAATAAAAAATATAATCATCGTGCTGGATTAGAAAAGTCATTGGTGTAAGTAGGCAGATGTGTTTTTTCCACCATATGTTTGTAAATTCAGTGCCACTAGGAGATGATCGCATGAATCTGACAGAAACAGTAACTGTAGTGATACTGATTAGGACCTGAATTTTGATTATTGTTGACAAAGGCCTTGTTAGATTTATAACCCAATTTAGACTATCCTAAAATCTACCAAGTTCGGCAAAATTATATGTCAGCACAATAAACTGCTAAATACTAAAATGAAAACAGACACAAGACAGCTGAATAGTACCCTATAGCCACTTTAAGGTGTATAGCAGCCGGTTCTATGTACAAACAAAAATTGAAGGGTCAATGAGATAGTCACAGGTTGTGGTTAAGAACTTGCATTGTTTTAACGTATTTATTACTCAATGCCATGTTAATTAATTCCATAATGTTGTAAATTGTCCTTGTGGTTATGTTGTGGCTTTAAGTTAAATGGGATGATTTTCTGCCAGCTCTGCCTTCAGATCAGAGATGGTCTCCCCTGGACTCTATGCTTGGTATATGTTTGCAATGAAAGAATCTTGACTGAATTTGAAATGTAATACTGCAACTAAATGAACAGTGCACGGGGAGGGTTTGGGGCAATCCAAGAGCCTATGAAACGGTGTCACATAATACAATGTAATTAATGATAATAAAAACAAGAATAAGGTGATTCTGCCTCTATGGCCTGAGTTTAGATTCAAGGCAAATTACCAGAGAAACAAAATACTGAATGCCAGTATTTTGCAGCCAAGAGTTGAGTCTTCAGTGGAGAAACTCTGTCAGAAGTTACCTAGTGTTATTTTCCTCATTGGTAAGGAAAAAATAAAACAGATCGAGGTTGTATACATTTTTTTTTCCTGTGGTCATGAACCTGTTTTAGAAAAAAACATTGACATTTTTAGTGTTACTTATAAACTTCAAAAAATGAAAGTAAGTATTAAACAGGGAGAAAACCTTGCATATTCTTATTCCCTCTTGCTGTGGCCACAGGAAGCAGGACTGGGCCATGTCAATGTGAGGAACCAGGAGCTTCTTCTGGGTTGTCCCACAGTGTAATACGGGCCCAAGTACTTTGACATTTTCTGCCAGAGGCCAGCTCTAGCCAAGTTCAGAACTGCAAAGAGTGTGTGGAGTCAGCGAGGAAAAGAGACACGGACGTGGTCACTTGGTCAACAGCTCAAGCAGCTGTCCTTTTAATTTACTCAAACATATCACAAGCCTCTAAGCAAACGTTTGGTTGTTCTATTTTTAACTTCATGACTAAGCAGGCATGCAAAGATGTTTGATTCTTTTATTTTTTACTACATGGTTAACTAGGTGCTCATAAAATAATTCTGTAAGATACTATAATTTTTCTTCAAAGCCAGCCATTATTCATTCTTTAGTAGTAACCATTGAGTGACCAGCAGGACTCCAAGACCAAGGCACATATGGTTACCTACTAATCAATAATACATTCCTACTACATTTCTATTTTTACATTTTCTCTATCACTTAATGGTAGAAATATGTCTCAAGAGACAGTACATAAAGATCCAAGACAAAAGTTTCAAATATTAAATCCCCCTATAGCTACAGGCTCCATAATCCCAGAAAAAATCAAGTAATAATCAAAAGTGTATTTCTATAATTTTAATAAAAGCATCCTTTAATTCCTCTAGCCAAAAAATTATAAAAGGAGCTAAAAAGATGCATTTTCTATGATCCAAAAAATAGAAAGCACAGGCTAGCCTTTAAGGTCACAATAAGTATATTTATCATAGCAAGTTCAGCTCACACTCCCATCACTTTCATTAACTTTTAGGATACTTAGCAAGCCATTTCCCGGAAGGCAAGCTACATGTCTGGGCAAGGTTCCGGGGTAATAGTTACACATACAGTAAGGTGTCTAGAAATGACATGGGTTTAATTGTACTCCTGTGTGCATTAATTCTCTTGAATTGTTAAAGGCCCACTTACCAAGACGTTATCAGCAACATTACCTCCCAAGCTCACATCGGTTGCAGATATCATCTTAAAAGGGCAAACAATAATGCCTCCAAAGAGTACAGAATTCTTTAATGGAGTGGTTGAGTGTCCATGCAAAGGGGGTAAAACTGGTGATTTTAGTTGTATGCTCGCTCATCACCATGTCAGTCACCTTGGCAGAGAAACATCTGCCAGGCCTTGCCGTATAGCTGGAAGCTTCTTGCGGCTTGCCAACAGGAGAGCTGTTCTTTTTACACCTCTGTGTCATCCACACCTACTGCACAGACCCCAGGAATATTCTGTTGCTTTTCCAGGCTATTAGCAGGCAGCTGGGTCAGAACTGGAGCAGCTGGGGCATGAACTGTCTCCTCTAAAGGATGCCTGCTTTGCTGGCGGTAGCTTTCCTAGCTATGCCACATTGCCATGAATAGTGTGCACTCTTAATTTGGCATACATGTGTGATTGTATGCACTTGTTAGGCGCTAACACCAGTTGCACACAGACCTCCTTATCTGCCCTGTGCAAGGATAAATGCACAAGGAACATCTTCTATTTGGAAAGAAAATATTAGGTTAACACACTTCCCTTCAGATCTTCCCCTTTTCCACCTCTGCGTCCTCAACTCCAAGCTTTCCTGAAAAGATCACCCAGACAAATGGAAATTGTCAGACAGGAAGAGGAGAGCATGTCAGGAAGGAAATCCGATTGTGAAATTAGTCAGTGAAATATTGAGCATTTTAGGACAAAGCGCTGACTAGGGAACAATTCTGCCAATAAAATGCAAAGCAGAAATTTGTTTAGGTTTTATAATTGCCTAAATTTAGGGAAATTGCTTACCTGCTTTGACAAATGGTCCTTTTATGAAAAGCATCTTCAGTTTGCGAGAATGGGAAGTGATCTTTTGACGTTTATTACAAGTCTGTTGCCTAAAATCTTATATAATAACAACAATGAAAATCGTAGTGGCTTTTTAGTGACATATGGCAACAAATTTAATGCATGGTATTCTTTCAGTAAGCCTTTCATATCTTAAAATACATACAGTGCTCTTTTTTTTTGGAAGATGAATGCAGACAAAAGTTATGTAGTTGAAAAAACGATTTAGGAAAACTTTTAATCAAAATAGTGTAACAGTGCTAGGGAAACACATGCTCATTGTAATTGTAGTTTGATTGCAAATTTCATTACAGAAGTAATCCGACACAGGTGCCTTAATTTCTACGCTTGTCAAAATATTCCTTGAAGATAAAGTCTGACTATTTTTCAAAGTATTTCCCTTAGCAAATAACCTCCTGGAGAGAGCCAAGTATTCCTTCTAATTTCTTGAGCCAACAGGTAGACTTATTTAAATGCGTTTATCAAGCTTATACGTCTTAGGGTTGGATTAGATACGTTTAAAAGAAAAGCAACATTTATTCTCAGAATATATTAACTAGAAGATCAATAATAATTCCTTAGAAGCATGTGAGTGTCCGTTTACATTTGGAGGGTATGCCAATCTGTTGTATGTGTATACTGAAATTCTAGTGTCTATTTCACAGTTCATATGTGGTATAAAAATGACCATGTAAATAAAGTTCATGAAGAATATATTTGCCAGTTTGTTTTCATGAGAGAACAGCTTATTTTAGGAGTTGGAATTTATTTGCTAAAGAGTATTTCTCAAACTTCTCTTCAGCTACCGTTTTGAAAGTGTTACCTGTGATTTGTGCATACCTCTGTAACAGTGGTCTTTCTGCTTCGAATGTATCTGCACTCTGTCCTTATCCAAGACAGACTCATCATACAAAACATTTGGTATGATGGCTTCCTATTATTATGAAGGATAAAGTTACTGCGTTTGGCAACTCCCCTTCTACATAAGCTTCCAGGGTTGGGCTTTCCAGGTTTTTCAAGGAAGACAAACATTTGCATGTTAACCATTGGAGATCTGCTTCATGTTACTTGAAGAAGCATTTAATAGGTACGGTCCAGTTAGATGACTATTTTCACTCTATCGCTTCTCGGCCTTTTGGCTAAGATCAGGTGTAGATGAC